GACCAATTCAAATTCTCACCATTTGTTTCACACCCACAAAAACCACTTCAAGGGCATTTAACGATCTCTCAAAACTGATCAGTTTTGTGCAAGTAAACCATGTTTCTTTTAAAAAGACTTGTGCACTTGCCCAGGCTCAAGGATATTAAAATCTAGCACATAAAGCCCATTACTAGAGGTAGAAATACAGGCAATATACTATTACGGCAACAACCATCAATTACAGTTAAGAATTTTTCTGTAACAACCAAATGGATAATCAAATATTGCAACAACTCAAGTATTACTGAGCAAAGTGCATCTCTACAGTATTCAGTGTTGCTATTCATTTTCTAACTTAAAACAGCCTATGGTAACTGGCAGCAAAGAAGGTCCTTGCAATAGACTGCCTCTGCTTGAGAACTTATGATGTAATTATTGCATGCTGCTAATATACTATCTAAACATTAAAGATACTCCTAAAATATTTGATGGTAGACTATGATTAAGACATTACACTACAAAAAAACCTTATGCAGAAGGAAACCCTTACTGACGTGCTTCTGCTTTAAATATTGTGAAAAACATTACAGCGGAATGAATTTTCGCAGTGGTTAGGTCAAATGCAGTTACATCATAGCAACAGTATGTTTTGCACAATTTAAGGCTTTGGCTGGTTCTTTAGTCAGCTTCTTCCTCTGATTCTTCTTCTTCAGCAGTTTCTAGCCAGGTTAGCCACTGATTCACCTGTAAATTAGTTTGTAATAATGAATGAGGATAAAACCAGAAACTCATCCCAAGAGACTTCAAAGTGTTAGTCTCCACACAAACTTGGAACAGCTGAAAAGACCATTCATAAATTAGTCTTTGGTCCTCATGTTTGCATGGTAAGGGCTTTATCACCTACTGAACCATCTCTGTAGCCTCTAGCTCCCCCACTTTTGAGACACCCAGATTAAATAGCCCAGGCTGGCCTGGAACTATGTAGCCAAGGACTTTTAAACTCTTGGTCTTCTCCACCCGCAAGTGGTGGGATTATAGGAATTGATCATCATACATGGCTTCAATCAGCCTTAAATTTCAGTTTGACACTGCTCCAATAACCTTGCAAAACTACTGTCTAGGACAACTCCTCTAAACCCAAATGTTATCTGCGTATGTTCTAAAGAATGGATGTCAGGGGCTAGAGAGATGGCTCAGCAGTTAAGAACACTGGTTGTTTTTGCAGAAGACCCAGGTTCAAATCCCAACACCCACATGGTAGCTAACAACTGTCTGTAACTCCATTTCCAGGGGGTCCAACAGCCTCTTCTGTCTTCTGCGGGCACTGCATGACATGGGTGCACTTAACTACATGCAGGTAATACATGAATACACATAAAATAAAAAAAATATATATTAAAAAAAAGAGTATCAAAGGGATGGAGAGATGGGCATTTGGTTAAGAGCACTGGCTGCTCTTGCAGAGGACCTGAGTTTGTTTTCCAACACCCCATGGTAGCTAAAAACCATCACTTAACTTCAGTTCAGGGGATTCAGTGAGTGCCCTTTTCTGGCCTCTGGGGGCACTGCATACATACACATGCAGGAAAACCACTCAAATATTTTTAAGAAGTTGAACAGCACACCAGAATTACTTCATCAGATTCTCTAGGGGTAGGACTAGGGCTAAATACTGTAGGAATAATCCTCACAAAGCTAGCCTACAACCCTTAGAAGCTGTAACCAGGGTTTCCTTAAAGCCTAGTTCCCTTGAAAATTAGAATTGCCTGGATTGTGTGCCATACACCTACTAAGGCTGAAAACCCCCTTTAGACTCCTAGAGGGAACTAAATCTTGCCGGGCTATTAATAAGAGCTATCTCCTAACTTCACCTCCCTTTACCAACTGCTTATTTAGCCACAGCTTCTAACAGTGCAGAATGACATGGATAAAGAAACTACGACTATCTTGGGGCTGTATTTCAAATGAAAGAGGGCCATTTAAATACTAACAATTGAAGAAAAATAATCACAAAGTAAAATCTTTAGAAAACATTTACCTGGAACAAAGCCTTGCCTTTTCCTGGAAACTCTTGGGTTATATCTTCTTTCCAAGCCAAGAAAGCTTCCTCTTCGATAATTTCCATGTCATAGAAGTGAACAAAAAAGCGAAGTAACATGCCTTTAGAAATAAAAAGTATGCAATCCTGTTAAGTGTGCTGTTCCATTTACAAGACTGTCCCTTGCCTCGTACTCCTGACGCCAGCTGACTCACCTTTTGGAAAGTTGCTGTTGTAACAGTGCACCTGCAGAGCATACAGGGCACTAACCTGTAGATCCACATGATCATGAAGGAATTTCTGCATCACTGGCTTGAAAGAAAGCAGCAGTTGTTTTTCCTGCTCTAACTGTTCTTTGGAAGGAGCAGAGGAAGAATCTGTTTCATCGCTGGGTGGGCTTACTTCATTAGAAATATACTGTAAGAAGCTGAACAAACAGGGAGGCCTTGTTACAAACCAGTTTTCTGCCTCAAGACAAACTCTTGGGCCTCTGCTCTGTAGATTCCCCTCCCCGCCATCAGACTACTCATCTTACCTGGTCATTAAGATGTTCACAAATCCTTTATCTACATGAAGTTTGGGAGAGATATTATCTTTAATCCATTTGTATATAGTCTGAGGGGATGGATCCAACTTAATTTGCTTTAATAGTTCCTTTTCCAACTTTAGGAGTGGGAATAAGAAACTCAGTCCCTTTCCTTCCAGAATCTCCAACATGCGATCCTTATTCTGATCAATTTCTGCAAGACAAGGTCATCTGTATTGATTAGTTCACTTTATCCACATGGCCTATAGGAAAAAATTTGAGTTTTACAAATGATTTTATAGTGCCTAAGACTCAATATAAAATAAAAACCAAACTAGGAAAGGAAGTCTGGACTACCTGGGTCAAATAAAGCGGTTAGGACATGCTGGGTGTGGTGGTGCACACCTTTAATCCTAGCCCTGGGGAGGCAGAGGCAGAGGCAGGCGGATTTCTGTGAGTTCCAGGCCAGCTAGGGCTGCTGGGAGACCCTGTCTCAAAAAGACAGAAAGAGCTGGGTGTGGTGGCACACGCCTTTAATCCCAGAAATCGAGAGGCAGGTGGACCTCTGTGAATTCAAGGCCAGCCTGGTCTACATAGTGAGTTCCAGGACAGTTGGGGCTGTGAATCTTTTTCTCAAAAAAAAAAAAAAAAAAAAAAAAAAAAAAAAAAAAAAAGACATGGTTAGCTCACAATCTCTTAAGGTCTCCCCAATGACAATACTTACTATAAGCAAGTTATCTAAATAATATATAAATCCACTCAAGGAGGACTAGAGATGGGTGAGTGGTTAAGAGCACTGGCTGCTCTTACAGAGGACCCAGGAGACCCAGGCTTGGTTCCCAGCACCCATATGGAAGCAAGCACAATCTCCAACTACTTCCAGGGGATCCAATGCCCTCTTCTGGCCTCCATGGGCACTGCACACATGGGGACATTTACAGGTAGCCAAAACACAAACCCATTTAAGGTAGTTAAGATTTAGTATTAAACAGCAATCTCTTACCTGGTAGCATTTTCTGCATATTGACTTTGCTTTGTTGAAAAAGTTCAGTTAACCATTCTCGATCTTGTAATTTAGCTAATTGTTGAAGACAAAGTAAGAAGAGTGGGAAATGGGTGCCACTCTCCAGTGGTTGAGCTAGCTCTGAAATGCTCACTAGCTCTGAAATAATGGCACGAGCTGCAAACTGTGCTAGGTATGATTTCACCAAGGGGATGTCAACCTCCAGTTTGGGGCACTGGTCCAAAACATTCAAGAAAGCCTAGGGAAGAACATTCAACAATAGTTTATTAGCTTCCAATGTGAGTGGAGTTTTTAATCATATAATCAGTAGAATGTTCTACCTGCATGAAGTTGTCACTTGTGGCTATCCCTTCCTGTTTGAGTGAGCTGATCAAAGAGCTTGCTTTTTCTTTATCTTCATCGCTTCTATCTAGTGACAGGATGATCACTTTGCTTAACATCTCAGGAAGAAAGTGCTTCGGAGCTCTCATCTCTCTTACACCACTGATGGCCTCACTTGCATTTCCACTGTTCAGATATTCAGTCACAACAGTTTCCTGAGGGGAGCACAATCCACATTCCAATTCCAGTGTTTTTCATCTCTCAAATGTATTCTAAAACTATGGAACTATTTGAAACTTACAGTTAGTTTAAGTAGCTCTTCCTTTGATGGTGGTGGCTTTTTGCTAGTCTTGGCAGGCTTTTCCTGGATAAGTGGTGGATTAGTTTTAAGACCAAGTTGAGGTGTCTAAAAAACAAGCAACATGACAGTCAAATTAAAAGGAAGCAAAACTACAACCACCACACAAAGCAGAGTGAAGGGAACACTGAGTGTTCAAGTATCTTCAGAAAACGCAGGGAAATGGTGCCACGGTCCGTACCTGTCCCAGAGGTGGTGTTTGAGTGCGTGGTGGTTGTGCACTAGGAGGAATCATAGTTATCTGGGGCTGAAGCTTTGGCACTTGATTTTTATTCATTAGGAACGACTGAGCAGGCCTCAAACTAATCTACAATCAAAAATCCACACACAAGTTAACAATAGATCAGGCAAATATTAAACACTTCTGAAATACAATTCTTTTTTTTTTTTTTTCGGTCTTTTTTAGAAAGGGTCTCCCTGTAGCCTTAGCTGTCCTTGAACTCACAAAGATCTGCCTGCCTCTGCCTCCCAAGTGCTGGGACTACAGGCCGGGCCTTGAAATACAATTCTTAAAAACTAAGTTACTTCATGTCAAGTAACAAATTCAACTTCTGTCCAAAACAAATTCCAATGAGTAAGTTAGACTGTAACAAACCTTAATTTGTACAATTCTCCTAGTAGTCAGCATAAAATATTCATGTAAACCCCTAATATCTTTACATTTCAATCAAAATCACTTTTATACTTAAATCACAAACAACATCTTGGTATTTCTCTCATGCTAACTAGTAGGTTTACTCAAGAGACAGACCTGCCCTCATATCTCATAATCTTCGCTCATAGGACGCTGGACAGTCAAAGAAAGAGAAAGAAGTATAGGAAAGAGAGAAAAAGGAAGAGCGCCAGCTTAAGTCCTCTTCGCGTCTTTTTATAATCATCGGGCAGCATGTCTCTGAACTGACAAACCACTGTATACAAATAACGAAGTCAATGTACCTCATCTGCATTAAGCTGTCCTTTCTTAGAAAACCGAGGTGGCATATCCTTCGACTGTCCTTGAAGCTGGGATAAGAGTCCCTGACTCTGGTTATGGTAGAGCTGGCTTAGCCCCTATTTCAGAAAGGGAGAGATAAAGTCTAGATAAAAGGGTTGTCCACAAATTATAGTAATCAAGTACGCCAAGGGGATGAGGCAAGTGATAAAGCAAGCATAACTTAACTGCCCAGAAAGATGAAACAAAGAACAACAATCTAACCTGTCATTTAAAGGGACATGATTTTACTACTTTTCTAATCTTAATAAACATTTTACTCAATTTGAAACAACTGTTAGATATAAATTTGGTTGAGGAAAAAAATACACCTAAAACAGCTTCATTAAAAAAAAAAAAAAAAAAAAAAAAGACAAAAGTCCCCTATTACAGGACCTAAAGCTTGTTCATCTAATGTCTTACCTGGCTTTTCATAAACTTGCCCCCCATCTCTCCAAACTGCGATTGTGTGGGAGGCATGATGTGTCCCCCATGGCCATTGAAGAGCTGATTTGAACGATGACGTCCCATAGTGGGTGAAAATCTATCCTGTATAACTCCTGGACCAGTACCAATTCCACTACCTTAAAATACAGACAAATCTTAGAATTTCACTAAAATTTTAAACTCTTCATAGTTTACTACTGAAACGCTGCTTTATTCAGAATTACCTGGCATTTGTCCAAACATATCAGCAAGTCCTCCAAGTGGGTCCCTATCCATTTTCATCCTGGGTGGCATGAAGGGTCCCTCCAGAAAGAAGTCATTTCTTCCTTGAGCCATAGGAGCAGGAATAAACACCCCTAGATCCTTTGGAAACACAGTGAATAAGCACTTTTTTGCCTGTAGACACTATGCTACTTAATCATACTGGGGGAAATCTGCTATTTAAGGTTCTGTAAGTAACCTCTGAAAACAGGAATAAGCACTAAATATTTTAAACTCCATCAGTAAGATGAGATCATTTTGTTTTCTGGAGTCAAGGAGGGAAGGGACTGTGCTGCTACAATACAAGGAAAAAGCTTTCTTACTTTCACTGCATCTTGACGGATTTGATTGATCGTCTTTGGTCCATTGTCAAGAAAAGCCTTGCGAGGAACCCAATGGTGTTCTCGCAACTCTACGGTATCCTGCAATTTAAAAAGTACAGATTTTAACACTTCTATACAACAATACAAGCTTACTGAAAACATGTTTAAAATCTGGTGGCATAAGCCTTTTAATCTCAGCACTTGGGAGACAGGTTGATGTTTGGGAGAACGAAGCCAACCTGGTCTTCTACACAGCTTTAGGCCAGCTGGGGCTACAAGGAGACTGTCTCAAAACAACAACAAAACTTACCTGCAGCAGGAAACGAATCCTTGCTGGCAATTCCTTACTTAGCATTAAGGAACACATTCTGGCAAAGTACTGATCCATTAAGGACTGATAAAAAGATAAGAAATAATTAGAAGAACTAAAGTGAATGTGTACTATTTCATGTTTTTCAGATTTCCATAATATAAATGAAGGTATAACTATAGCAATCCTCCAACCCATAACACACATCACCCTTACACTGTTCTCATCAAAAACATACACACCTTGGCTCGTTCATGGTCTAATCTAGGCCCCACTGTCCTCATTATCTGACAGAGGCACTCCAAATCCTCTCCCATATCTTTGAGTTGGACTCTCTTCTTCTTTTCCAAAAGCTATCACAAGAACAAAGTGTCAAACGGTTAAAAAATCTTTAGTTATTCTATAGTTTAGGCAATGCTTTCTCCTTGGTTTGAGCTTACTCATTTATCATTCCTATAGTATCTAAGACAGTGCTTTTCCACTGGTTGTCGAAGAAATCCCTCTAAAAACCCAGGCAATCAGTTTTACTTCTACTTTGCAAATTACACTATTATAATTTCCTAAGTTTCTCTGCTACCTAAATCTAGTCATGCATTCTCTCAGGCAATACAAAGCAATTAATTCATTTTCCCCAAATAAGGATGCTCTCATGAACTGCCTCAATCTAGTCCACCATTTCTATTTATACTTACTGTTTTGATGCACTTATGAAGGATAGATTCATGAATAAGATCAAGCTTGCCAAGTTCTCCAATGAATTTGATGTTCCCCAACATCTTGATCTTAGCAATGGCTCTCTGTTCCTCCTCCTCTGGGAGGAGGGGATTTTCACGTTTATCATAGACTGAGGGAGAGGAAGTAAACAGAATTAAGTCAGCACTTGGACTTAAGTTGAAAATACACTGGAGCTGGAAAAATGGGTAAAGGCCCGACAACCCGAGTTTGATTCCCTGGGACTCATATGGGGGGAAGCTGTCCTCTGACCACATGCATGCCATGGTGTGCATTTTTAAAAATTAAGAAAAAAAAAGTTAGCAAAAAAATCTAAATTATTACCATCAACATTTCTGGTTCGGTTTTCAAATTCATCTTGCAATTTGGAAATCAAGAGGCGTCTGAATGTCTGTTTGAAAACAAAAGATATTGTGGGCTTTGTAATAAAAAAAATCTTCCAAATCAATTTTAAAAGAAGTCAACAAACTACCACTTACTGTGCTTTGCTTCTGTCCTGGTTGACCCTCTGCGGCTGGGCCATCAAAGTTTGGTGCATCTTCTGCCAATCGCAGACATAGCTGAGCATACAGTGAGCTATACTTTGGCTCTTCTAGGGCTTTGTCCACAATCTACAGATAATGTCATTAAAAAGGAGAACCTGAGCTGGGTTGGGCAGACCACAAATCTAGACTCCCCTGAATTGGAAACTGAAAAGAGCCGTATGTTTCTTAATAATTTTTTTAGTTTTAATCTTAAAATTCATGACAAATTTCTCTTTGCCTCAATGAATTTGGATAGTACCTCTGGAAAAAATTTAAAATTCTTACACTGTACCAAAATGTCCAGCTAAACAGATCTCATGTAAGTCATTACCTCGCCTCCCCAGTAAGAAATGGAACTATAATAAACCATTAAGACACTGGTGGGTTGGGATGCTAGAATCTTTTATCAACTATCCTTAACTCCAGTTCCAAAGGAATCCAAAGCCCTCTTCTGATCTCCTGGGCATTATACAACATGGGTACACTCACATACATGCAGGCAATACACTCATACACATAAAAATTAAAAATGGTTCTGTTTTTGTTTTAATCAGCATCATTTACTCAATCATCTATAACTAAGCCCAGACCTCAGGACTTAACGCAATAAAGGGTAAAATACAACTTGAGTTTGCTGTGTATTTCCCTCCCCCTGTTTAAACTTACCAGCAGTATGACCCCTTTAAGGATGAGTTTAGACTCTACACCCACATTGAGGAGCTCAAGGCATAGCTTGTCAAACTTTTCAGGAGTAAGCTTATTTAGTATGCTGGGGGAGAAAAAACACATTTCAAATGTGAGCTAACAAAATTTTGAGCTGAAAAATAGCATTTAAATTCTGCCTTTCCTCTACTTGTTCCCTAAACAGAGAAAGAAGTGTTCTTTTTCATCCAACTAAATAGATACTGAAATGAACTTCTCAGAGTTAGACCAAGATATATGTGATTGGATTCATGCTTCCCTGCTGTTTGACAAGAAACCTTTCTCAAAGCCCAGAGCACAAGGGCCTCATTATCAGGAATTGACCACAAGCTAGGATGGCTATATTACCCATTTCACTGGGTGACACACCAGGCCAACATGGAAATGCTAACATAACAAGCTTGTGGGTTGTAAACAAAGAACCCCTGCTGCCAAATACCAACGGGCTACTTAACTTCAGTGTAAGAGAATTCTTTTATAAAACTGTCAACATTAAGTCACTACAATACATTCTGTGACATGAGTGAACCTTGCCTTGTGAGGAGTATACCATACTTAGTAACAGAGCTTGAAACTTACCCTCTTACTTTCCTGAAGATTGCATCATGTCGTTCTTTTTCATTTGCGGAGTTGTTTGCTGCGGAGTTGTCATCTCGTCTAGTGCTTCGTGCAGGAATCCATTTCTGAGCGTTTTGCCCTGGGGTTTTCCCCAGGAACTCGCTGATTTAATAAAACATCAATAAGCGGCTTATGATTAAGAAAACCTAAAACACAGCATTCACCCATAATCAAATGCTATGCTACCCACAACTTTGCTAAACAGAGAAAAAACAAACCCAAACAACTTAGACTTTAACTTTTCCCACAACAAAGCAAGCTGAGAAATTTTGTTTTTCAAACAGCACCAGAATCACTCATGAGGCTTCTTAAGCAGGCTGGTGTGCCCATTCCCAGTTTCTGTTTTCATAAGCCTATTATAGTACCCAAGAATTTACAACACTTCTGGTACATATATATTCCAAGGTGAAGCAAGGCTGCTGGCCCACCTTGAGAATCAATACTAAAATGTCTGGGCCATGCCATTTAGAATACCAGCAAGCAGAAACCAAGAAAAATAGGAAATAGTTTAGGACTATCAAGTCACATTAGGATTACTCATGTCTTTTCCTAGAATTACTCTAGTAGATGGGAAAAGTCAACCAAATCTAGATAAAAGTTACTGTCTTCACACGTTTACTGTACCTGTTGCCAGCAGTCTTGGGATAGTGCTGAGGTGCACCCCTACTTCCTCCTCCGCCCGAAGAAGCACTATTGAAAAGAAATTTTTACTCTATGAAGCATGCCTGATACAAAAACACGTTCCACTGATGGAAACTGACTTTGGGGGCTTCTGCACTTAAAAGAATGCCAATCACAGGCTCCAGAAAATTATAGAACCACAGCACATTAAGTGGATCTGGTAGTGCCTTAGTTTTAGGGCTGGCCTTTTGAAAACAATCCAATGACCCACACACCTGAAACGAGAAGCACCCCCTTCTGCAATCGCACTCTCCACTTTGGCGGCTTGACAACGAAGAATCTTCAAAAGAATAATATTAATGGATGGGTTGGGGAGG